CTGACTAAGAAAACGATATAAAGAGAAATAGCTGCAAAAAAGACTTGTATGTTGTGGGTTTAAAACTGATTTGTTTTGTTCCCTGCTAAAACAAAGTTTGTGAATTCAGTTAAATAATTGTTAAAATATATCTCTCATTTGTGTGTTTTTAGCTTTCTTCCTGTATGGGAAGCTTTTCAACATTTGAAACATTAGTGCAGTGGTTTATGTTAAAATAAACCTTTGGGTTAAGTTGTTGCAAGTGGGTTTTTCTTGTGTTTCTTGTGAATTTGGTCTTACATTTTTATTTCAAGTTGCATTAAAAAGTCTTGAATTTAACTTGTCTTATGCTGTAGGAACCCTGAATATCGCATATTGCAATATTTAGCCTCCTTGAATAATCGCAGGGGGAATTCCTCAACCGTGACAGCCCTAGGAGACGGTGCGTTTACCGTTATCGAGTTAAAAGTGCCCAGTTTATGGTGTTATTGATCTGAGGTCCTATCGCCCAGCTCTATCCTAAAGTCATTTGTGTTTACTTATGAATTCATCCTAAAGCCAGAAATCTGAGCTGCTAATCCTTACCTTCAACATCTTCTCCTGTCTTGTGTTTAGCTGCTCGAAATCCGGATGCAATGCGAGTTTAGCGAGGCCGACTCCCCTGATCCGGGAGGAGACCACACCCCCACCTCTGCAGTTCCCCCCAGCCCTCAGGAAGCTGAGCCTCCAAATCAGCTCTCTGCAGGCATCAACTCTTCTGAAGGACCCAGAGACAATATACCATGCCTACAGTATGCAGAAATATTTATTTTTGGCTACATGGGTTATGTATTTGTGAAGCTAGCTATTTACAAGAGAATAAATGGTGTCAACATAGTAATAAACCTAAAGGAAGTGATGCAGTCATCAGTTTATTCCCTCCGGGGCTGAGGACTGAAATGATCCCATCTATAGAGAAATCTTAGAAGTAATAAAGATGTCTGACAGTAACAGGAGGAAGGGGAATAACGGTGTGGCCTACCCTGAGGGGGATAATAACTCATGCTGGTGTAAATGGCAGCCTGCCGTGTGTTTGATGCAGGGTGCGGAGCTCCCCGCTGAAACAGTCTCCGGGCTACCAGGTGGAGCTGGTGGTCCAGCTGGTGTGGGTGAGCGGGGAGCCGCCTCAGCAGATCACCAGCCTGGCAGTCAACTCCTCCTACGGCCTGTAAGTTTCCACCTGGCATGGTGGCGCCACCTTACATCCCTGTGCATGGTTCCTGCTTACGTCTATAAAAGTCTGCAAATTTTCATTGTTTTCGTCTTTTTTTTTTTTTTTTTTCTTGGACAAAATTTGCACCAAAAAAATTTAAAAAAATGTATTACGTTATTTTTTATTACGTAAGTTTACTAGGACCACAAAATGTTGTGAAAAATAGGATAATTCTAGTGAATGTTGCTGTTTGTATAAATAAATAAATAGTATTATTTATCGGTATACTTTAGTTCATAGCAAATATCAGTTGTTTATTATATATATTTTTTTATGCTGCATTTAAGTGTCAAATACATTTTATTGAATCCCATTTTAGAGAAATATAACTTCTTTATGTTGGTCTATTATTAATAATTCCAATAAAAAGCTAAATGTTGGTTTTTATCATGAGGAAATGAGGACGGGGTGGAATGGAGGTTGAATGTGGCGTTTTAACCTGTTCTTCCTGCGTATCTAGTGTGGTGTTTGGAAACAGTAACGGTCTGGCTGTAGTGGACTACGTCCAGAAGACGCTGCTCCTCAGCATGAGTATTTCGGAGCTGTCCAGCCCATCCGACCCCTGCCAGAGGCAGCCCTGCTCCCCGCGTAAACCCCGCCAGCCTTCTGGAGGTGAGGAGCATTCCAAACAATTACACCTCGGTCTAATTTTTCTCCTGGCCGGGGCCTCGCTGAACATGAATCTCTCTGAAATGCAGTCGATGCGCGATTTGTTTGCTGCGGCTGTCGTGTCTCAGCTAAACCTGATCAGGCAGCTGCTAGAGGTGCTGGACGGGCAGAGCTGACACTTGGCAGCTGGCCTGACTTCACACCATGCAGTAGCTTCTCTCCCTCAACAGGGGGCATCACTCACAGGTTCTCCATCTGTTGAGTAGGATAGTGCAAAGACAGCAGAGAGCGGGCATGTCAGTAATGCTTCATCATAGCTCTGCCCTCACTGAGTTAGGAAATATTTTTTCTTCACTTCCCTGTTAAAAATCTTCTTTCTGCCTTTTTTTTTCTTTTTTTTATCATAATGTTTGTCACTGATCCCTTCTCTTCATTTAAAGCTTTGTGTTACGATCCATTTTTGTTTTTGTTAGAATTAAAAACTGCTAAACCCAATCTTAACAGTGATGTAAACGTGCTTCTATTAGACTTTTTAGGAGATTTCTGATTAGAGAAGAACACTTAAAACTCAAGGTGGGCAGCTTTAGAGCTCCTGGGGCTCCGCCCTGGAGGAAGTGAGAAGCGTCCCTTCTTCCACATCTGATTTACTAAGTTCTGCCATGTTTAAGGAAGAAGTCTCAAACATGCAACACAGCTGTCCATGGCTATTACAAATGGCAGTACTAAAAGATTAGTTTTCTCTTGAGGGATTGAATAGCAACTTTTGAAAAACCCCACGTTAAAAGCCCAGAGGAATTAAACAAAGTAGACCCTTACTCCATTTCCACTACCCTTGAAAAACCGATCCATGCCGAGACCGGTCCGAGCTCGGATCAGTTAACCAGGCCGAGCTCAGTTCTGACAACCGTTTACACATCACGCTATCTCGATTCCTCGCCTCCTAGTGACGATCTGCGGTATTACTGCCAGTATTGAAGGAGGAAATCAAGCAGTTGGTGGCGGTAATGCACTAAGAGTTGTTTGCTAACCGCCATAAAACACAAGAAGAAGAAGACGAAGAAGGAGGGAATCAAGCAAATCAAAATGGCGGCGCCCGTCACATTCAGAAAGTTATGCTTGATTGCTGTACTCCGGTGTTTGCGGAGGGCCAGGCGAAGACGGCAACCTTTCGTGGATTTACTTGAGAAAGTAAATTTATAGTTATAGTTCTTCTTCTTCTGTTTTTGGAGGGGCATTACCGCCAACTACTGGAATGGAGTGTGAATCGGGATGTGCAGCCAGACGGAGATGATGCGTTCTGCTCATGCGCTCTTGTTAGCAGAGAACCGAGGCAGGGAAAAACAGAGCGGAGCCCACCTCTGGAACTGGTCTGCAGTTAGCTCGGTCCGGTTGTATCTAGCTCGGTTCAGTTCAGTTTGCTTTCCATTTACACACCATAAGTTATCTCAGTTACTGAGCTCGGACCGGTTTTTCAAGGGTAGTTTAAATGGGGTACCTGTTATCTGGAGTGGCTGTTTTGCATCCTGAATCAGCTGACAAGTCCTTCATAAAACTGTTTCTTTCAAACAGCCTCTCACACCTCTTTACATCCTCAAACATCTCACTGATGCATAAGAAAACAAACTTTGATTCATTTCGCATTGTAGTTGTCTTTTTTTTAGCTAGTTATTATAATAGCGATACAGAGACATATCAGTGCCTCTCTTGTTCTGATCAGGATCAGATTCAACAGCAGATCTTAAAGAATTTGTTAGTTTTTTTTTTCTTTTGGTGTTTACACGTCATATTTTCACATTTTTTGTTCTTTCTCATTTGTTTTTCACTGTTTTTTGTTGGTCTCTTTGTGTGATCTTTGATAAAGACATTCCAACTGCCACGTCTCACATGTCCAGACTTTCTAACGTGTATTCTCAGTCTGTGAAAAAACTGCGCTCCTCTCACTTCAGTAAGTTCCTTTGTGTCTGATTTCTTTTCCCCATTCTTCTCTCACAATTGTTTTGCTCTTGGAGGTTTTTTTTCCCTTTTTTCCCAATAAGATACACTCCCTGGTTTTGATATGCGATACGCACCTCAGAGCGACAATAAAGCCTCCTAATTTATATTTAAACGGTGAAATATGGGGCTACTAGAGCTGAGGCCAATAAAAGTAAATCAGGTGGTGTATCTTTCTACCGAGCTTTCAGTGTTAGTGGACCAGCAGTACCCACGTTGAATTTATCCTTTAAAATATTATAATAGTAGCCCTCCCTACAGAAACTCTTAGAGGACACCTCCCATCCCCAGTTGCATCAGGTGTAAGATACAGATTTGTTTTTTGGAGGGAGGTGTGCTGAGAAATTTATGGAATTCCCTTTTTTTTATTTTTTTATCCATATTTTCTGCAGGACTTTGCGATTCTAACGACGCATCTAACAACTCAGAGGAGCGATGCAAATCCCCTACGTCAGGTAAGCCTCTTTGCTAAATCTTCTGCCAAAAATATTCTTTTTTTTTTTTTTTTAAGCATGTTTTTTCCCCAAATGCTATTTATCATCCAGGATCTCCCTCACCCTGCAATTCAGACGATGAACGAAAACAGAACTTCATAGAGAAGGGTACCGTATCTTTTAGTGCATGCGGCCTCCTAATTCCAGCAAATCATTAAAAATGGCTGAAGACGTCTGATTTGTCTTCTTTTCCCAAAACCTTATTTTTAGTGAAGTTAAAAAGCAGACGCTTTTCCAAGACGGTTGCCAATGACTTTGGTACTGTATCTTTCATGTGCCTCCTCTCTAGCTACTCACCGTTTCGCTCTATGAATGACGGCGCTCTAACAAAGCTGCGCATTTATCCTCTGCCAGTCTGTGCAAAATGTGCAAATTCAGGACAGATTTTCATTGGAGATGTGGATTATTAAAATAATCATGTTCCTTTATTGATTGCATGACAGGGTACCTCTCAGTTTTCTGTCTGTTTTGCAGATTTTCTATGCAAATTCTTATTTTCAACAAACCTTTACAGAATATTGCTTGGGGATGTATTTATTTGATGCTTTTTACTTCCCCTCCCCCCAAAAGAAGCATAGAAAATCTGCCTCCCTGTCTTAATATTTGTTCCACTAACCACTTGAATTTTAAAAAAGCTGAATTATTTTAGATCGTCGATGCTTTCTGACTTTCTTTTCCAGGGGTTCCAATCAGTGCAATCTTTGGGCTATCCACTTGGTTTCTCTTTGTTTCCACCTACTCTCTTTGCATAACAATGTTGACTGAATCATAATTATCTTATTTCTCAGCTGCTTCTTGCTTCGTTTGACAGTGCGGCTCCTCTGCGAAGCTTCTGTGCCTTATTTGTATTCTCATGGTGGATTTGAGGGTGGCTGTGGACTGCTAAAGGCAACTTTTGGGGATTCATTTTTTGGAACGGCAACACTCCTGGTAGCAGAGCAAAAAAAATAAAAAATGTACAATTAATTCTTGTTTTTTTTGGGGAATATAAAAATTTAGTTTCATGCTCAGTATCTTTGACATGAGCTGGAAAACAATCAGTTCTTTAAATGTGGTCGTTTTACCTCCAGAGACTAAAGCTTTTTATATGGACTTCATGTAAGACACCAACGCAACATGGTGCATAGTTATGAAGTAAAAAAAAAAAAGAATTAAACAAAAATTAAACATGTCACATTGCTTTAATAGATGCAATTAACTGGCCTCAAAGCCACCTGGGTAGAAAGCTGAATGCACTCGTTCAATGTGAGAAGTTTGTTGGTTTTAAAGCAACATAAACGCAGTTTTAACTAATCTTGAATTACAGATTAAATCAAAGCTCTGAGAATAATGTGGGGTATTACTGCAAACCTCTAGCAATACTGGAGGATCTCCAAAGATCCACAGATCAGTTGATAGGAAGCATCTAGCAGCATGATATGGGTTAGTTGTAGGACTGAAACAATTAATCGGATTAATCGATTATTGAAATAATCGTCATCTAATTTAGTAATCGAGCAATTATTAACTGGTATATATAGACTCTAAAACATTCCTTTTGCTGACAGAGTGATCCAATTAGATCAGTAATTATATAAGATTTAAAACTAAAAATAGAAGAAGACAAGAAGAAAATCCTTTATTGTAGCCTCGTGAGACCATCCTGATCTCGCGAGCTTTCAAGGTTTCACTCGCAGATCAGTCTGGAGACTCTCCGTTGAAGAAAATTTGGAGCCGTTCACCAAACGAACGTCCAATCAGCGTTGGCTTTGAGGCGGGTTGAGGTGTGACGCAACGAGAAGCGCGACAGTTCAGTCTAAAGAACATGGCGGCTTCAGCCGATGAAACTAGCGTTAGCGTGGCTATCGAGCAAGTTTTATCAGAATTACAGAGTATTTCTTCACTGAAAGAAGAGCAAAACACTGCTCTGGAGGCTTTTCTCAGAGGAAAAGATGTTTTTGCTCTTCTCCCGACTGGTTTCGGCAAGAGTTTGATCTATCAATTGGCTCCTCTTCGTCGTCGTTCTGTTAGTACGTCATATGCTTCATTGATCTGATTGGTTTATTTGGTCCGTCTATCACCAACATAGGCCAATCAGCTAACCAGTATTTTCGCCCCTTCCCAAAATTACTTCAACGGAAGGTTTCCAGATGGATATGCGGAGCAGATGCAAACATTTTGCATTTAAGATAAAAAAAAAATGATATTAATTATATTATCTTATATATTAATATTAATACTAATAATTATGTCAATATGCTTTATCCAGAATTCCTCAAGTGGAAAAGTTTGAGTTTAACCTGGTTTAATTTCATAAAAACTCTTCTTCAAAGAATCTTTGGCTATCCGATTATTAATTGATTAATCGAAAAAGCGATCGACAGACTAACCCAGACTAATCGATTCACAAAATCATTAGTTGCAGCCCTAGTTAGTTGTGCACTACTCCACAAATTTAATGGAAGTTTAAAAGAATCAAATGCATGATGCACAGTTGAGTTTATTGATTTTTAGTTAAAACACTCAAAACTCTCAAGAAATATGAACAAAAAAAGGGCACAAGCATAAAGTTTATACGCCCAGCTTTCCTCAGTTTTCATATTTTCTATGAGCGTAACAGTTTAAAAACTATATAATTATGCACTATTAAACGTTGGTTTTATAAAACGCCATTTTTTAGACTGTAGAAGGCAAAACGAAAAAAGGTTGAAGGTTCATGAGTACCTTTGGAAAGCCTCAACAGTTGTCCTTCAGTTTATATCATCCCTCATTCGCTATTGTTTTATCTGAGCCGGCGCTCCATGTGTCTCCTTTTAAAAACTAGAAGTATTTGTTTCTGTTGCAGCCAAGATGTCGCGGAAAATTAGCTCATCTGGTGAGCAAAAGCCAGAGCTGGGTAAGCCAACACATAAACATGAAAGAACTCTGACTTCTTTTTTCCTCTATTTGAACAGGAACTGATTTTATCATCTTGTATTAATGTTGAAGCTGTGAAAGAAGAAGTATGGAAGTGTTGTTTGTTGCTCAGCAGTGTTTTTAAGTTCAACATAACTTAAGATGAACGCTGTCTGTGTCTGCCCTGGGCGTAGAGGAGAGGCTCCAGCGGTGGTCCCCTCAGGCAATTAAAAGGCGCTTTTGTAGTGTGAGAAATTGCAAGATGGCAGACAGGATGACCCGGAGGTTGAATGCACATAGAACTAAGTCAGACCCCAACCGATGTGAGTGGATCAGTCGTGTCATGACTACGGCTGAAGTGGGTTAACTCGTACTAATCGCCACAACCAGGGCTTTTACTCTGAAATTGGAGGACTTATGACACTAATCCACTCACTATGATCTTTTCAAGGAAGTCCGTCTTGCATGAGTGGACTTGGCGTCCAAAATCCTGTCTTTCCTGTTTCTCTCTTGAGAAGAACTCGGATAAAGGGCGGTGTTTTCCACTCCCCTCTCTCAGTTCTTCTGTGGAGATCCCCTCAGTGACTTCTTGAAGAAGATAAAACTGTTTCTTTGACTGCAGCTTTCCACATTGAGGTTGTGGTCAGATTTGGTCTAAAAAAAAAAATAGCAAATTGGATCAAGAAAAAAACCAAAAGAAAAGCATATAAACACATCTCGATGTGAAAAAGCTTCAGAGGGTTTGCTCTATGCTGTCTGATTTTTACCCTTCTGATTAGATGGGAGGTGTGTTTATTTTCTGAACATGAGTCTAACATTTGGGACTAAATTTCCTTGTGAATCAACAAAATTTTTCATTGAATTTGAATCGTTCCCTGATTTTTTATCTCTCCTTTTATTTTCGTCTGCACACCTGCTGCCCAGATGGAAAGGATAACGCCTTCACCCGCTCACGTAGCTCGAGCGTAACCAGCATAGACCGAGAATCTCGAGAGGCCATCTCCTCCTTCTACTTCTGCGAGAGTTTCCCCAGGAAGTCGGACAGTCAGGTCAGCCCCTGTCTGTTAGTGGGGACCACCCAGGGCTCTGTGATGATGGTGGCCCTCAGCATGCTGCCCGGCGGCGACCAAAAGCCACAGCAGCCGGTTGGCTTTGCCTCCTGCGGTAAGAAACACACGGTGTCACTCGAAAATGTTTATACCTCTTGGACTTTTTCAGGTTTTATCAGGATGAAAACATCATGATTTAATAAATGTTATTTAGGTTTTAGATGATAAGACCCATGCTGAGTAGTGTGTGTTTGTGGGACCAATCACAGCTGCTTTTTGTCTGCACGGGTTTGAGACCGTCTGACGCGTAGTCAGGATTTTTTTGAGGTGCACAGAGACATATTTGACGGTTGCAAAGCTATGCGTCAGAAGCATAAATCGGCCTTTATCCCTTCCTTCTAATCGTTTTTTATGCTACTTGCCTTTCAACAGACGCCATGTTTGTGGAGTGCAAAGCTAGTAGTCTTTCTGTCAATAAATTCTCTAACCTAAACTATAAATTTACTCCATACTCGAATCTAACAACTTAACTTTTTGGCTGCTTTTTTAACCAATACTCTCCTTCTCTTAGGTTTAAATTTATGCATGCATTTATGCATTTATGAATTTTGCATGATTGGATGATAGATTAAACGTTTCTCTAGTAAAAGAAAGAATTAAGAAATAAAATAAATGTATATATTCTGTTTTCATTTGGAAATAAAATAAAAAAGAAATTAGAATTAAAAAAGGAAGTTATAATTATGTGATTGATGCACTTATCTTAAGGATTTTAACCACACCACCTGTAGTAATGCTGCTGAATTTTTCAGGCCCCCTGGTCAGACTGAAAGGAGACATCCTGACTATGGCCCTGCTGGATGCTGCTGGGACTCTGCTGCCCCCTACCTATGAACCATGGTATGACCCAAACGCCTCAGATGAAGAGAAAGAGAAGGTCCGGAGGCGCAGGCCATCCACCCCTCCTACCTCACAGGAGGGCCACGACGCCCAATTCGCCGTCCTGTGTTCAGAGAAGCAGGCCAAGGTGGTGGCCATGCCCTCCCAAACCTGCGTCCACAAACACAACATCACAGAGACGTCTTTTGTGCTGCGGGCCGATGTGGTGCAGATGGCCGGGGCTTACTGCCTCGCCTGTTTCTGTGCCAACGGTCACATAATGACTCTGAGGTATCTCACCTTTCCTGCAGCTGCTTCTCCTGTGTAGTTTCAATGTCTTTCATGAACGATCACACCTCTTTTTCAACAGCGCGTTTCCTTATAATGTGTGATATGTGGTCAGTGATGCTGTGTAGAGAGCAGGAAACCACATCCTTTTAATAGCTGTTGTCTGATTATAGTTTGCCCAGCCTGCGACCTCTGCTAGACGTGAACTACCTGCCGCTGACAGACATGCGGATTGCCAGAACGTTCTGCTTCTCTAACTTGGGTCAAGCTCTGTACCTGACCTCCCCCACTGAGATCCAGAGGATTACCTACAGCCAGGAGACCTGTGACAACCTTCAGGTCAGACAGCAAGGATCAATCATTTTTGCAAACGGCTGATTGATTTACCCAGACAGATCTGGTCACTTCATGATTTCAATCCTAAATTCATCATTGAAAAAAAAATTAAAAACCAAAACCCACATCTTAAAGGGGTGATAGAATGATTCTATACGGTATCTGGTCCTTCAGGTCTCTGAATAGGGTGTGTAACATTGGTTGGGCTGAAAATGGCATATTAGCTGTTCTATGAGCCCTAATGTATATGGAGGACTGACTCTGCCATATTTAAAAATAAATACAGAAATAAATAAATGCTCAATAAATAAATAAGCATACAATTAATTGCCACCAAAAATACTATAAACAAATAAATGTTAGTAGAAATTAGATTATACAGTGAGACATAAATGTATATAACTCTTTTAATCAGCTTCTTATTTATTTGCCTTTGTAATATTTACCTTATTTTTTTGTCATTTATAATCTTCAACTTTATTTTTTAATTACTTATATTTTTAAGTATTTATTTATGTGCACGTTATATTTTTGTCTGTTTTATTCTTCCTTTGTATTTTTAAACCCTAGTTATTTCTTCGCCGCTATTTATTTCTGCCTGTCGTATTTACATTTCTGCCTCATTATGCAAATGAGGAGGGGGCGTGTCCTAGAGAGTCAAAAGTTGAAGGATTTTGGTCAAAATAACAAAATAAGATAGAATATATATAAATAAATATATATATACACACAGAAGCTATATACAAACAGTACATTAACGCACAGTCTACTGTTTGTATATAGCTTCTGCGTGTATATATATATATATATATATTTATATATATTCTATCTTATTTTGTTATTTTGTTTTGTTTGTTTTTTTTTGTTTTTTTTTTGTCTGCACCAACAACACCAAGTCAAATTCCTTGTAAGTGCAAACCTACTTGGCAATAAACTTGATTCTGATTCTGATTCTACAGTGCAGCACGTAGTCGAAACACACCGGGCACTCGAACCGAGCCTTCAGCTCCGGGGTTGGTACAGGAACCCCAGTGGACAGGGGCAGGGAGCCAGCGGGGGACGGAGTGACCGAACCCGACCCGGTGACGGTAGCCTGGACACCGGTGGCCCCTTGCTTCCCCCAGCCTGCCTTACTGGCCCCCAATCCGCCTCCTCCGGCCGAGGATGGGCGGCTCATGGCTCTCTGCATATGCTAGCATTGCTATCAACAGCTTAGCGACAAAATAATACTCATAGCTTGCAGTTCTGATGGCCTCACGGTGGGAACAGCCCCTCGTTTCAGTAAAAGAAGTTTTTCAAATCCTGCTTTGAACCGTCCAAGATTTTGAAAGCTGTCTTCGGTAAAATGCTTCGAGCAAATGAACAGCTGAGCATCAAACTTAGCAGGGATCCTCCGACAGACGAAAATAATCCATGCCTGGCGAGTCTTCGGATCCTTTCGAAGACTGAAAAATTTCTATGTGCATCCTGGAATGCTGCATTTACTCCACTGGTTCTGGCTCATTTTTAATAGAGAAACTGCCTGCTTTGTAATTGTTGTAGAAATAAAACCAACTGTAGGCTAAACAGCTAAACTGCTGTCCTCCATCTACCTCTATTCATGTTCTTGGGCCGGTGAACTAGTGGGCTGGTCTGTGTGACAAAAGTACAGGCCAGAACCAAATAAGGCAACATCCCAGAGTTTACGTCAACCTGGGGCTTCGTCTGGATTCGCCCTTTTTATGCTGGTAGTTAAGAATTGTGAGATTTGCAAAGAAAGGAGGTGTCGATGGGGTTTGAACTTCTCTGTACGTCCATTTCACCCACTGACTATCGTCATTTAACTACGATAATGTAAACTCGTTCTATGACCCCTATGAGGTGTCAGTGGGGTTTGAACAATTTAAACTCTGTTCTCCATTCTACGATCCCTTTAAGGGAGATTATATTGGACCTGACTTGCTGATGCTTTTTTTTGTCATCCTCAGGAAATGCTCAGCGAGTTATTTACCCCCGTGGAGACGCCAGAGGCTCCAAACAGAGGCTTTTTCAAAGGCCTTTTTGGCGGAGGAGCTCAGTCTTTGGACAGAGAAGAACTCTGTGAGTGAACAAAGTCCTTCACCATCATATAAAACCCCTTCCAACCTTTTGTCTCACATTTATGTAACGCCATCAGTGTCCTGATTCCTCAACAAACTGCTGATAATCAGCCCGCTTGTGTAGGTAGCAGATCTGCTCGGGCTCCATGCATGGCAGTGACGTTAAACTATATGATTAGCTGAATGAATCTGCATGATGTAAAACGTTGTTGTCCGGACGACGATAACGCAGCGTCTGTAATGTTAGCGTGTCTAATGACCGATGAAGTTTTATCTGATAACAAAGCTAAAAAAATCTGTTCATGGAGAACAAAGTAACTGCAAGACCATGATATAAAAAGCTAGGTAGTTCTGTGGCTAGCTGTGCTCAGTAGCTAACAGGTTAGCCTCTTTTAGCTCGGTCAGTAAGCCATATTGCGCTACACTGCTTTTAATTTTGTGACAACTGTTCATTTTCTAAAAGTAGTAACTGCTTTCTTTGTCTAAAATCTCCCCGAAAGTAATTTTGAGGATGCTCCAATCGTCTCCTCGGCCCTCAGATCTTAATAAAAAGAATAAGAAGTAGTACTGAGACTTTCTGAGTCACCTTGTTAAATGGCCGAGCTCTGTTTGTCTGAGATGGCAGTGCTTTCCTTCAAAACTGAGACAGGGTTTCCGCGGGTCATTAAAAAGCATTAAATCATAATTTTTTTAATTAAGGCCTTAATTGGCATTAAAATTCATTAAATTTCACTATCGTGGCATTAAAATGGCTTTGGAAAAGAAGCTTGAGGTGGAGAAAATGGGGAAAAAAGCAAATATGAACCAAAGTGGGAGGAAAACGAGGAAATCGGGACATGGCTTTACCGGATTTTTAAATAAGAGTCACTCATTCATGTATAAACCCTGTGAGAAGGATTTTCTTTGTATGCTGAGGCTCCAGAAAGGATTTGATTCATAACAAACGTGTGCGATACAGTTTGTCCGTTGGCGTTACCCTATGATGACATCATAAGAAAGGGCGGGTCCCCGAGCAGATCTGGTTCCTACACCCAAGACATACACACACACACACATATATATATATATATATATATATATATATATATATATATATATATA